TGCCAACATCCCATATGGGTGCTGGTTTGTGTCCTGGCTGCTCCATTACTGATCTAGCTCCCTGCTGATGGCCTGAGAAAATCAGCAGAAGATGGCCCACATGCTGGGGCCCCTGCCAAATGCTTGGGAGATCTGGATGAAGTTCCTGGCTCTTGGCTTTGGCCTGTCCCAGTGCTGTCCATTGCAGACACGAGGGGAGTGAACCAGTGAATAAAAAGATCTCTCTATCTCTCTCTGTAACTCTATCAAATAAATAAATGTTTAAAAAAAGTTATGGAAGGAAAATGACAGCTCAGTATTTTACACTCAGGGAGGATGCCACTTTACAATGGACGTGAGGCGTGGGCATTTCCCACGAGAACACCAGCCAGCTCTGCGTCCACTCCAGCTCTCACCACGGGAGGCAGCAGCCGGGCTCAGGTGCCGGGGTCCCTGCCCTCCGCGCAGGAGCCTGGGAGGGAGTTCCAGCTCCCTGGCTTCGTGATGGCCCAGCCCTGGCTGTTGTGAACATCTGGAAAATGAACTGACAGACGGAAGATCTCCCAGTCTGCCTACCTTTCTCTGTTTTTTTCCTCTCTCAAATAAAACAAAAATAAGTGAATCTGAACAGTAAAGATTTTGTCAGACAAAAACTGAAAGAATTCATAAGTTTCTATGGAGCATTTATCTGCAAGTAATACTGTAAGATATTTAATATGAACATACCATGGAATGATCTTCAGGTTCAAAGACAAATGATCTGGTACGGAGGCACAGAACTATTCCAAAAAATTGATAGCTTCAGAAGGCTAAGTATGCTGATAATATAAAGACTACTGACGCTTAAAGCAACAGGAACACCTTGTGGACTTTATCACTTCTGCAGAAATAAAACACAAGGCAACTGTAGTAAAAAACTTGCCAAGGGGTAAATGTAATATACTAAGATTCCTGTACCTTTTTTTTTTTTTTTTTTTTTTTTTTTTTGACAGGCAGAGTGGTCAGTGAGAGAGAGAGAGACAGAGAGAAAGGTCTTCCTTTTCCGTTGGTTCACCCCTCAATGGCTGCTGCAGCCGGCGCACCATGCTGATCCGAAGCCAGGAGCCAGGTGCTTCCTCCTGGTCTCCCATGGGGTTCAGGGCCCAAGCACCTGGGCCATCCTCCACTGCCCTCCCGGGCCACGGCAGAGAGCTGGACTGGAAGAGGAGCAACCAGGAGAGAATCCAGCACTCCGACCGGGACTAGAACCTGGGTACTGGTGCTGCAGGGGGTGGATTAGCCTATTGAGCTGCAGCGCTGGCCAGATTCCTGTACTTTTTTGATGAGGCAAATTCTAATAGGTTAATTTGGAAATTTCTATAGTAATCACTAGAAGAATTATTTAAGCCAGACAACAAAAAAAACTAATATGCAGATAAAACATAATAAAAGCATGTGAATTATTTAAACAAAGAGGGGCTGGCGCTATGGCATGGTAGGTTAACCTCCATCTGAGGGGCCGGCATCCCATATTTGTGCCTGTTCAAGTCCCAGCTGCTCCACTCTGATCCAGCCCCCTGCTAATGGCCTGGGAAAGCAGTGGAAGATGACCCAAGCGCTTGGGCCCATGCGCCCACGTGGGAGACCCGGAAGAAGCTCCTGGCTTATGGCTTCGGATTGGCCCAGCTCCACCAGTTGTAGCCATTTAGGGAGTGAACCAGCAGATGGAAGACCTTTCTCTCTGTCTCCCCCTCTCTGTATCTTTAAACAATTTAGAGAGAGAGAGAGATTAAGGAAGAAAAACAGAGTGACCACATATGGAACAAATGACAAGACAGTCATACCTAACTATACCAGTAATCACATCAAAGATAAATGCAGTAAACATGCTAATTAAAAGATCAAAGTTTGCAGAACTGACTTAAAAAAAGATCCATCTATATGCTATTTATAAGAAATAAACTTTAAATACACAAACAGACTCCAAGTAAATGATCTAAGCTATTGATACTAGGCAAACAACAACTAAAAGAAAATTATGATGCCTATGTTATCATTAGATAAATACTCATAGATGTTAAATTAAGATGGATTACGAGATGTAACTGGAGACATTTTACAATAAACATTTCAACAGAAAGATATCACTATCCTAAACATGTACCAGATATAGCTTTGAAATAAATAAATCAGGGTTGGGAATAAAAATGAGATAGACAAATCTAAAAGAAATGATAAAAATGGTTTCCCTTTTCCTACCAAGAATGTGCATTCACACTATTGTTAAAGTCATAGGATTAAAGCTTCCAGGATGAAGGACCCTGGTGGAGTGAGGCAGGCGGTGAGTGAGGTTAGCCCACTGCAGAGTGGCATAGCTCAGTGGACATCATCTGTAAGCAGGGAGCTGGGGAGAAGGAACAGTCACACACCAATCAAGGCGAGTGCTAACTGCGGCATTAACACGCCTAGAGCTAGAGCCCAGCCAGTCTGAAGGGAGAATGTGCAGGGCTGGGCACACCGCGTTCCCACTAGTACTGTCCGTGCCAGAGGGTGCACTGATCACACACTGACCACCCAGCACCTAGTGAGCACCTCCTCTGTGGCAGGCAATGTGTAAGCCTCTTGTTACACTTGCTGTAGCTTTTGCCTCTGCAGATAACGTCCACAATGTTGGAAAATATACTATTACCCACAGCGCTCAAAATAAAACTCATGCATTCATTCTGCAAGTATTTACTGCATGCACAGGAAATTTATTCTTGGAACAGAGAGTGAAACACACAAATCTCTGTCCTTGTGAAACTCAGGGGCGATCAGCCTGCAGCCGTAAATGCGCGAGCCCTAAAATGCCTTGAGTTGAATAAGCTCAGTGATCTAATTGAGCACGGCACATGTGCTCATTTTAAAAAACAGCAGTGGAAATGCCCTGTGATAGGCAAACAATGACATATTCACATTATTAGTGGGTGATTATGAACAGAGACCAGGCAGGATGAAAAAAAAAAAAGACAAAGGAAATGCTGGTGCTGTGAGAGGAACTTAAGTTATATTGATTCATTTCTATGGTTCATAAAATCTAAAATGCAAATAAAAGAGTAATAAAAGTCACTTCTACTCCCTATAACTCAAGGTCACCAAGTCCACTTCCTAAACTGCTGAGTGCTTGGTAAGCACGCTGAAAACTGGAAGACGGTTCTCAGGGACGCAAGGCAAGCCACCGTGAAGACAAGCCAGGGCAGCCAGTACCTGCTGCTCCAGTAAGCCAGACAACTCAAATTCTGGCCTGACTTAGCCACGGTTCTTTTCCTTCCTGCATACTTAGTAAGGAAAAGCTCAAACACACACAAAATCGAGGGAACAGTGCAAGGAACCTCCACGAATGCACAGCTTCAACAGTCACCCACACGTTCCTTTAATCCTGCTTTGGAGGACGACCCTGGAGTATTTATTTTAGTACAAGTCTCAGATACCACGTCATGGCAAATGCAAGTATTTTGCAATTCATCCCCAGCTGATGGAAATGCATGGAATCTTTTTTTTAATTATTTATTTCAAAGAGAGAAAGAGAATAGAGGGGTCCATCTTCCATCTGCTGGTTCACTCCCCAAACGGCCACAGCAGCCAGAGCCGGCCAAGCTGACTGCCAGTGTTTTACTGTAGATATGCACGTTTTGAAACACTCAATCTTTCCTAGCTGGTGAACGTATGGCTCGTTTCCGCTTTTGGCTATGATGAACAATGCTGCTGTAACACCATGCACTAGCTTCTGTGTGGACATATGCTCCAGTTACCTTGTCAGAAGCCTAGGAGTTGAGTTACGGCTCATATGTTAGGACTGCCTATTTAATACAAGGGCCTTCAAAAATCCACGACAAATGCGTATGTGAGGAAACTATCCACGGATTTCAATTTTCTGTTTGCACCACAATAGACTTCTTATAGTTCTAGTCCTCTGTGGGAATTTCAAATATCTTCAAATGCCCGATGGCTGCACCATTTAACAGCCCACGAACACTGTGTGCCTCCAGCTCCCCTCCACCCCACTGGCAGTTGTTACTGTCCAACTTATATGGCCACCCTAGAGTGTGTATACTAGTTTTGATTTGCATTTCTCGTTATTAATGATATTAAGCACCTTTTCATTGGACTGTCCTTTTGTATATTTTTTTGGAAGAAAATCCATTCAAATCTTTGCTTATTTTCTGTTTGTTTTCTTGGGCTGCATTTCACTAGCAAGGTGTAAGAGCTCCTTATAAGTTCTGGATATTGTCCCTGAACAGACACTATTTCTCTTTCCTTAGTTGCCTGTGGTGTCCCTTCTAAGAAAGCACTACGTAAGGCAGGTCATGACGATTCACATCTATGTTAGAACTTTCATAGTTTGGGCCGGCGCCGCGGCTCACTAGGCTAATCCTCCGCCTAGCGGCGCCGGCACACCGGGTTCTAGTCCCGGTCGGGGCGCCGGATTCTGTCCCGGTTGCCCCTCTTCCAGACCAGCTCTCTGCTGTGGCCAGGGAGTGCGGTGGAGGATGGCCCAGGTGCTTGGGCCCTGCACCCCATGGGAGACCAGGAGAAGCACCTGGCTCCTGCCATCGGATCAGCGCGGTGCGCCAGCCGCAGCGCGCCGGCCGCGGCGGCCATTGGAGGGTGAACCAACGGCAAAGGAAGACCTTTCTCTCTGTCTCTCTCTCTCTCTGTCCACTCTGTCAAAAATATAAAGAAGAATAACATAATTTCATAAGATCTGTCTGAGTTCTATCTTTAGAATCAGGCTGATGAACTATCATCGATATTCCTCTCCTCTGAAATTAAACTACAGTACTCAAATGTTGAGCCCTAACATTAATCAATAA